CCCTACCTTTCTCTCTAATTGTTATGAGCTCTCCCATATCCCCCTGGTAATTTGATTCTCTGCTTGAGTTAAACAGAATTAGATTCTTTCAGCTTAAAGAACCATGTGGATAGAGCAGGATTTTATTTTTAATTATAGTAAAATATACTTAACATAAATTTATTTTCTTAACCCTTTTAAAGGTACAATTCAGCAATGGCAAGTGCTTTCACACTGTTATGTAATCAATCTCCAGAACTCTTTTCATCTTGCAGAACTGAAACTCTCCCTCAATTAAACAACGCCCTATTTCTTCCTGCCCCCAGCCGCTGGTGATCACCATCCTACTCTCTACCTCTATTTGACAATTCTAGGTGCTTCATGTGAGTGGAATTATACAGTACTTGTCTTTTTGTGACTAGCTTATTTTACCTAGCATCATCTTCTCAAGGTTTGTCCATGCTATAGCATATGTCAGCATTTCCTTCTTGTTTGAGACTGAATAATATTCCACCGTATAGCTACACCATATTTTGTTTATATCAACAGACATCTGGGGCTGCTTGCACTCTTCAGCTCCTGTGAACGCTGATGCTGTGAACATGTGTACAAACATCTCTTTGAGACCCTGCTTTGAACTTCTTTTGGGTATCTACCCAGAAATGGGATTACTGGATCATAGGGTAGTTCTATTTTTAATTGTTTAAAGCCCTTCCATACTGTTGTCCAGAGTGCCCGGACCAATTCACATTCTCACTAGCAGTGTATGAAGCGTCCGATTTCTCCACCCTCTCACCAGCCTTTGTTAGTTTCTGGATTTTTTTTTTTTATAGTAGCCATCCTACATCCTTTTTCTAAATAAATGTTGCACCGAGGACAGCCTCTTATATTCAGAAATGGGTTCTGTGAAATACAATAGAAAATTAAACCCCCGCCTAAATCTCTGGGGGAAGAGCTGCCTGGCTCTCCAAACTTTTTTTGTTGTTGTTGGCTCTCCAAACTTCTTAACTGCCCTTGCTTCTACATTTGCTTTCTCTCGTGATGAGTCTGCTAACCATTTTAGAAAGGGCTTAATTCATTCCATGTTAATAATTTCAAAATGTAGGTTTGGAGTAAATCTTTTTTTTTTTTTTTTCCCAAAAGGTTAAGGAGGAAACTCAAGCCACCTGCTATGAATTTGCAAACAAGATTACTGAGGCTCTTCTCTCATTAAGGAAGCATTGAGGATCATTCAAAAAAAGCATTGGTATTGCTGGTTCTGACTTGCGATAACCTGAATAGAAAAAGCTTGGAACCCAGTGCTTGGCACTCACCTTTCAAACTCTTTACAGCCAAGATTCAGACGCCTAAGTGTCTCCCGGGCACATTTGCATCTCTGACAGCTTCACTCTCTGTGGGCATATTTCTTTGATTTGGAACATTCCTTTTTGGATTTTCGTTAGCTGTGCCTAGATCAGGAGGTCTGAGACTCTTGGCTAAGACTGGGCTAAGGAGCCAGACACCCCTGGAAGGTCAGCCAGCCAGTTCCCAGCTGGTTCCCTTTGAGCGAGGTCCTTAAACTCTCCGAGCTCCGGTTTCCTTATCTGTGAAACAGGAGAAATGCTGCCTATTTCAGGCCCACCGTAATGACAACTGAGGTCATGAACGTGCCCATTCCCAGCAGGACACTGACGACAGAAGAGGCAGTTAAAAAATGGAGAACTCATTTATTCTGTACAGAAATAAGATTGGTTGATGGACATTATCTGAAAATAAAAATATGAAGGTGCCTACTCTTTGAAGATGCTTTCTTGACTATCCTTAAATTTTTTGAGAGCTCCCAACAATTATACTGAAAACTTATGTTTTCAAAGGGCTGAGCTTTATTTTTCAAAGATACATATTTGTTCAAGAAATATCTCTTATTTTTTTTCTAGAAAACATCCACATCTACTTCCGTATAAAGAAGATTTCTGTCACATCCTAAAATTTTTCTCTTAGCATGGTGTCTGTAGATACACATATGTATACACATATGGGTAGATACATGCAGATATTAAGTCTCCTTAATTATTACCATGAAAATTCTAAAATGCTTTGCCTGTGCAGAACTCTTACCAAATATTTCCAAAAACGTATTTTGATTTTTGGACATTCACAGAAACCCAGTGCAGTAGCAGCAGAAGCAAGTATTATGACCCTGGTTTCATAGATGAGATTTTGAGAGGTATGTGACTTGCCCGAGACCTCAAAGCCAGTGAAGCGGCGGAGCCAGAACTCAAACCCAGGCCTTGGGTTTCCAAATCCAATATTGTCTCCACCGTATCTCACCAGTCCCCATAGGGGGGCACGCGGTGGAGGACTGCTGGCGAAATGAATGGAAAAAACAGCAGAACTGTAAGGCTTGAAAGCCTTTTTGGAATGCGGAGGGACTAAGTATTAGCAAACAACTGAAATGTCATGCTCAAAGCCTATCAAGAATTTAGGAGCATTGAGAGTATTCAAATGGCTGCTGAATTTATAGGTATATTCTTTAAAAGAAAGAAAAATGTACAGCATGTTCCAGATCCCCACTTTTCTTATGTCCCCAGTATTAGATTCTTCTTCTTTATAGATATGATTTATAGCTTACGTAGATTTCCTGAATGCTTTTCCTGGTACACACTATTTAAAAATCAGTATTTATACCCTATATATTTAATTCTTATATTTATACCCTATATATTTAATTCCTATACTACTGACATGTAGGAAGAATGGGGGGGATTCTCTTTCTATCTGGCCGTGTGGCTAAGAATGAGTAAATGAATGAAGAAATTAGTTTGGACCTATTTCTAGGTGTCATACTTATTTATTCTTCAGGCCTTGTTAAAACCTCTATAGTTAGCCAAAATTGAAATTCCCATATTCTAAAACAATCAACATTATATTTAAGGAGCAAAAAGTATTCCTAATTGCTCCCCAACCAGAGAATTTATCATATGGAAATGCCACTCCTCACATTTCACCACTGCATATACATATATGAACACACAGAATCAATTTTGTGCATGAAAATTAAAATTCCACTGCTTGCATTAGTGAATATCAGAAAGCTTCAATCTTTAACAATATTGAAGTAGTTGAAGAAATTATATCAAACCTGAAGGCATATGAGGCAACTGCTAAATTATTAATTTGAAGAATTTGTAACAACATGCCTCGACGTTCTTCTGTCACAGTAAAGAAAGAAAACACAACATTATGTCTCCACTCGGATTATAACTATAAAAAATGATATTTTGCATGTGGACAGAGACTTAGAAGGAACATGGAAAAGTTAAAGGGTTTTGTTGGGGTTTTATTTTGTCTTATGAATCAGTTAAGAGTATTTGCGTAATTAAAAACAAAAATTGAAATCATCACAATTTTTAGGATGCACGATGTAAAGCTGAGTAGAAAAACAGTAGGTCACTATCTGTCCTAACTAGAATGGGTGCTGTGGACGTGGAGTAAGACCCAGGGCCCTGCGGCCTGGCACATGAGCCCTGACTTTGCCCTGCACAGGGAAAGTTCAGAAGAATAAATCAGAGTCCCAATTCCCTGTGGGTCAAGGTCTATCCCTATGTCATCTCAAAACAATACACACATATTTGACATGCCATGTATCTCTCAGGGCATCAAGTCCCCAGACATCATATCTTTAAATCATTGGATCCCTACGAGAAACTAAAATTGTACAAGAAGGAAAAATATCACACAGTGGGAAAAATAACCAGTTTTGTAAGTCTTTATTTTTTAGTTGCTCCTCCCATAGTAATGCACTGAAAGGCATAACAGTTTATATTGTACAAAGCATTTGAAGAAAGTACCTCAACTTGCCGATTATTTCAAAATGAGATTACAAACAAACAAACAAACAAACAAAAAAAAAGAAAAGAAATCTGGTTCTTCAATAAAGGGCAAAATAACTGAATACAGTCTGTTATTTACTTCTCTCTTTTAACATAAGGTCTGGAACACTTCATTTTACAAATAGGATTAACATGAACATAACATCGCACAAGCTTGCAGACGACCAGCATAAAATATGGGGTACAGTTTTTAATCAGAAGAATCATGCTTTCATGAAAGAAATTATAATTGTTTATACAATTGAATCGATTTCAGTATTACAAAAACTAAGTTGCATCTATTCGTATTTAGCTCATTAAGAAGGAAAACAAAACAACAACAAAAAAGGAATGTTAAGAAAAGCCAAACACCATTTGGCACTCCCATACACAGGTCGAGTCACCTTGGTCCTTGCAATTCAGACAGGGGCGTGCCTCAGACGTCAGAAAGTAGTGGCTGACTGGAACAGTGCTATTGTAATCAACAAACGATAGTTTGCCAACAAATAAATACATGATACACGCAACACACACAAAAATTAAACATTAAAAAACAGTGACATGATTGTCTAAAATTAAGATGTTATTACAAGGATTTGGCAAACGTTTTATTAGTGTAGTGGTACAGCGGGACTGGTGATGAATAGGTTACTTCACTGACTTAAACTCTTTGAGCGCTGGAACATCCATAGTTTACAATATACACATACCCTTTTTCCCTAGTTTTACACAATGTACTTAAGAAGGCAAAAGTTAATGGGGAACAAGGACTCCCTGTTATCAGTTTCTATAATAATCGAGTGTGCATTTCATCCAACTACTTCCATCTTCGAAGGGTTAAATTACATAAAACTTTAACAAAGGAAAAAAATCAAATCTGTAATTAAAAAAAGCAACTGTTCCCAACCATGTGGCAGGTGATCTTGTACAAAAAAGAATCCAATTTCTATGGAGTGTTCATTCGTGTCAATGCTGCCATCCCCACCGCCCTCGTGCCCACCCACAGCCCAGGGCAGGGCAGACCAAGACGCCTCCTGCCTGCAAGTTGCTCATTCTCATCGAATCACGTTAATAACGTTGCATTGACCTTCCAGAAGTCAGCAGCTGCCTTTGCTGTGCAAAACAAAATATCGAGAATAAATAGTTTCTTTTTTTCTTTTCCTTTCTTTTCCTTTCTTTTTTTTAAGCATTCAGTTTAAGGTCACCAGACTTTAAATGAGTGACCCTTCAGGTTTCTAAGGCATTCTGCTCAGCAGTCTTTTAAATAGTCCTAGATGAAAGAGCCATGCTACTGTTGGACTTGGTCCCACTCTGGTCGACCTTGGTAATGTCATACGTGGCTTATGGACTGGATGGCACTGGATTCCGCCGCAGCCCTTGCCATACTGTGCCACACGTTGGAAGAACTGTGGGATGTAGAATGGAGGGACTCCTTGTCGGACAATGACAACATCATAGCATATGCCTGGGGTAAAAAGGAGAGACTCGGTAAGTGGCGCTGGAAAACATCACTTTTAATTTGAAGAATGTTGCTGGTGCATGTTAGGGGGGGACGGGACTCTGAGTAGGAGGGTCCCTCATGGGTGTGTTTGGAAAAGTGTGGAGCCCCTTTTTGTCGTCGTAATGATGTGATGTTACTGCTGGCCTTCAGTGCCTAGGGGCCACAAAAGTACATGTCCTACAGTACAAAAAAAAAAAAAAAAAAATGAATTGTCCTACCGAAAATGTCAATAGCGTCTCCACTGAGAAACGCAAATTATCCCCCTGTCTAAGCATAAATACGTCATCCATCCACTGTTCGTGCACCTGTTCAAGTCACCAAAAATATTATTGTGTGCTTATGACCAAAACTGCAAATATGAATGGGATATAGACCTGCCTTGATGGCACTGGGGTCTAGAAGAGGACACGGTCCTACCGACTCCTGCACTTTCTGAGAGAGCTGACGGTGACATGACTTGCCCCGAGTCACTGAACTAGACAGTGGAGGAGGCAGAAGCACAACTGATTTCTGCCCTACTTTGAATCCAGTGTCCTTTCTCTGGTTTCCCTCCATGTTTGAAATATTCAAAGCTGACACTCAAAGACCTTGTCAGGTCAGGTAAATCAAGTCAGCTCTACCAAAAAGTAAAACACAACACAAGACCCAACAACGTTCTAACCAACTTGTACTCCAAGGTCTGCCAAGCAGAAGGTACATGGTGGTGCTCTGTGAAGAAGTGATTTTTCTTCCCTATTATCATGTCAATTCTAAATAACTGTTCAGAGAATCTCCCATTTGCTGCCAAGTAAAATAGTCAAATGAAATGTTTGGTCTTGACTTGTGAGTGAACTTTTCACTGTTGATTTGCTATTGTTGGTCTCATCCATTGCTAAACTTGCTTGTCAAAATGCTGCTGCAGTGGAATCATTAAAGTCCTGCCAAAGACATTCCACTGTCTGTAAACAAAGACAAAATGCCTCTGTTGTTAAGCAGAATTTCATCTCTGAGAGTCATGCTGAGACATGTGGCCAATCTGTGGTTTCTTCCGTAATCATGGCATTCGGTTAGAAAATCTGCTCTTGTACGCTGCTTGTGATTTGCTGGGTCATTGCTCTCAATGTACACATCTGACTTTTATGTACGCAATTTGCCTTCTACAAAATCTCAACAGACATATAACAAATATCTCTTAAGCATCTACTCTCTGCCAGGCACTGTGCTAGGTCCTAGGGAAACAGTGATAAGATAATATACAGTCCTTGTCCTTTGAAGAGTTTAAAATATGAGTGAAGGGAGCATTGAACTTTATTTTTATCAGGTACCCACTTTCAGAGATTAAGATAAAGAGTATTCTGAAATGGTTTTAACAAAACCTATTCCAATATTTGGAAAAATGAAAGGAAACCTAGAGAAAATTTTGAGACTCCTGGCTTCTAACTGGCCTCTCTTCAACTAGCTGTGTGACCTTGGGCAAGTTCCTTAACCTTTCAAGGTCACTTTCCTCCTACCAAATGGGGATCATAATAACAAAAACTTGCCTCCAAGGGCTGTGAGGGAATTACAAGCACTAACTAACATAGAGTGCCGGACATAAATAGTACCCATTATCATGAAATTAATTTTTAGAATAGGAACTTTCAAAGAGGATTCTATGCTGAATGCAGCCACTGTTGTATTGTTCAACTATCTTGGATTCAGTCACTATAAAAATCACACAGTAAATATATGAATGTTTGAATAAGTCATCTACCTCTACTCAGATTCTAGAAAATGGTAAATATAGAATATTTGCCTTTTGGTAATCAAACAAAATAAACATTTTCACGCACAAAGATCACCTCCCTGCACACCAACAGTGAATAACAACTGAATGAGTGAATAAAAAGTCTCATGAAATAAAGTTAGTTTGCAAAAAGGCCTGACCATATTTAAACTGATATATGACATGATCAAGTAGCATGAAAAATACGAGAAATACGCTAGTATTTCTTGTGATGGTAATTGTTAGTCCAGCTGGGCAGGGATTTTATGTCAAAATGCTGGAACTGAAATAGATCACATCTATTATCTCAGGGTTCTCTGACCCTTCTGCTTTCAATCATTCCTGATAGCTTCAGGAATTTTTAGGTACTATGTCTTATAAGCATTTTGGTGGAATAATTAAAAGAAATTAAAAAAAAAAAAAAAGGAAGGAAAGCCTGAATCCCCCAGTATCTCTCTGATCAATTAGGAAGGAAGAATGGGATACCAAAGGTTTTAAAAAAATACTCGCTACCTCTAATGGTTATGTCCAGGTAAAAATGAGATGTCTACTCTGGCTAATTTACTTTTAATGTTAGAAACTGAAAAATTAATTTTGATCCCCATTGAATCATACAGCAGGAAGAGCTCTTAGATATGGCCTCCAGTCACCCCACTTTACAAGGAAGTGGTACCCGCAGTCATGAAGTGATGTTCTTAAAGTTCATGCAGCTAGCAACTCCGGTGCAGAGGCCGGCTTCTTTTACTTCAATGCAAAAAGAACATTCATTTTGCCTATTAGCATACATGGTACCTTAGATTTTCACTGAATTGACTGAGAGTTAAAAATTGATATTATCCCGCTAGCACAATGTTTTTCCCACCTTAGTTGAGATAAGACCACATTTGCTGCTAAGAGCAAATGGCTAAGGCCAAAACATCTCAGCCAAACAGGAAAGCATTTCTAAATGTACAGGCCAATGCAGTCACATGGTCTGCTATGTCAGGCCACCTACAAAATGGGCTCACGATCAATTAGACCAAAGTGACCAACAAATATGGTAATAACAAGAAGTTTTCTTTTCTTCTTCTTCTTTTTTTTTTTTTTGATTGACCTGAGTGAAATGAACAATATGGTTGAGTAGGGATGTCAGCAGAAAATACTGACTTCCTTTATTTTGTGATAAAAGAAGTGAGGCTCTTTTAATTGGTATTTACAGATCCTTAAATGGATTTATTTTTGTTTCCACAGTGCTGATAGAATGCCATAGAGCCCAATGAACGTGGGTACTGTTCATTCATTCATTCAATTAAAAATTAATCAGTTTTATTTCTAGATCTGCCAGTAAGTTGCTGCAGACTTTGGGCAACCCATTTCATCTCTGATCCTCAGTTTACTCCTAAAAGCTATAATTAGATGACTTGTTAATTAACTACATTTAACAAAGGACCAAAAAAAAATGGGGGGCAGGATTCACATTCCAGAAGTCTGGCAGTATAATTAGGTTGACAAGAATTACAGAGGCAAAGCAATTAGAAAATCACTCTGAAGTCACACAGAAATAGGTGCAAACATTATGGCCTATCTCTACAGAAGGAAGAGATTGCAAAGTAAAGGAAAAGCTACTGGAAGAGAAGGTTTCATGGAAGCGTCTGTGCGGAGGGCAGCCATGTTCATGACTGTATTGGTTAACCATTTTGGATTTGGTCATAGGGTCAAGGTAGGAACGTTTTGAGTAAAGCATCTGAACCTGTTCAGATTCTAGAGTACTGCCCAGAGAGACTATCTGCCTTTTGGCGCCCAAGGCACAATGTTGCCATGATGCTGTGCTGCAGGAGAACATGTACCTGTGATTTGGACTTTCTGTGTAACGGCTGTTTAAGTTCCTCCGGCACATGGGAAGCACTAAAAGAAGACAGCTCAGCTTCAGTATATTGATTATCTTCCAGTTTCCTCATTTTGAGGCTATCTGTGAAGTGCCTTATATGATCTAGAGCAGAAAGTCCAGTTTTATATTCTTCCTCTTTATACCTAAAATGAACCAATGGGAAAGCACAGAGGGTTTTTTTTTCTTTCTCAGTTTGTTATCCAACCAAATCACTTTTCATCTGAATCCATACAGCTGTCAAACTTCGTATTATATTTGCAGTATCAAGAAGCATGCATCCATTACTGGGTTCTTTAAAGTGTCTACACATACTGTATCTTAAAAACACGTTTGTTTTAAGACTCTTCATCATAACTAAAGCAAGTGTACATAAGAGGTAGAGTTAAAATCAACTATGTGGAGTCAGCAATGCAGTGGAGATACAATTTATAGGTTTATAATGTCCATTTAAAATAAAGTCAGTGATGATAATATTTAGTGAGCACCCACTCTCCATATGAAAATAGAATATTCCTATAAATTTAACTATTTGGTTCATTTTTTTTCCATTTAAAAATCTACCTGTAGAGGTTACATACATATCAAATTAAGTGAACTTTTATCTCACTGTTTGACTAATAACGTACCAGATTTTTGAATGAATTAGATAATGTTGAAATCTCTATTTTTCTTTGAGTTTTACAGGTAGAGTCTAAATAAATGATTGGGTACTCGTCTAATTTTCATTTATTCGTCCCATTTCAGGTTAATCAGGGTTCCACAAATACCGATGCATTTGTATTCTTGTGGATTATGTTGATGGCTACCTTGTTTTCACCTATTCAAAATGAATCCACCAAATATGCCTTGCTAATTCAAATGTACTTTTAATGATTCGTTACTCATCAACTTCCATGTCCTGAAATATTGCCCTAATGGAATATTGGAAAAACAGAGCAGAAGGAATTGCAACCATATATGTATCTACTCCTACTTATTTACTAATGTCACCCCAGGCGCTCACCTCACTGGGGACGTTTTGCAACTCATCTCCAGGGCATTGGCTTCTTCATAGTCATCCTCAGGGTTTCCTTCATGTAAATTGCTTGTCCCTGGTTCTTTTCCTGTTTTTCCAGTAATATCGTTGTCGTCATCCTCCTCATCTAACAACACCTCATCTTCTACTTCTTCATCATCCAGTAAATCTGAATTTTGGCTCGTTACCAAAGCTTTCTCATCCTTAAAATGGCTGCCGTTCATTCTTTCAAAAGCATAAAAAAAGAAACAGGTCCCATTATTGGTTTCATTTTTAAACGTGCAGTTAGCTCTCTTCTCATGTCTTCCCAACAACAGTTTAGATTTTCAGCACTTCTATAGTAAATTTTTATTATTTTTGCTTTATGGCAACCATGGGAAAGTAATGTAACTTCACAAATGAGAAAATGAAGAAAACAATAATTGGGTGATTATTCAGAGGATAAATGGGGCTCCTGGCAAAGCTGGAAAAACAGTCTCAGGCTCCTATTCTTTATCCGACCTTTGCCTGATAAATGCTATTGTTATAGATGATATTAAAAGCCTACAAATGTTTTCTCTACATAATGTTACCTAATTACCATATAAGTGCCCACCATTTAAAATAATAGGTTTCTGGAAAATTCATATCCCTGAACAACACTGATAAAAACTGGAACACACACGCCTAAAGTGAATCTAGGAGTTCAAAGAAAATGTTAAGATGGCTGTCAGGGACCACGCCATATTTGATATTTCTAGGTGACATTTGTGGTGTACGCCACTTAGACATCCTGCTCAAACTTGGAAGTGATTGAAAGCTCACTTATTTGTACTGTTTTCAAATTATCCTTGATGGTCTGAATGTAAAAAAGTTCCCTGTTTCCCAGAAGAACATCGGGGTGGGCAATTATCTAAAAATGCAATTGTGCAAGTATTTTCTGAAGCTTACTTAGCATGCATGTCTAATGTGATACAAAAGAAGAATACTATATTTTAAAAGTCATTTGCAATACTTTAGTTTGTGGTCACAAGGATTGTAGTATGTGATTCAAAAGTTTAATTATAAAAAAAAGATTTAATTACATAGAAGTCCCAATTTAATATATTTGAGAGCATTTATAAAAGTAGGACAAATTTCTCAGGCTTCAAAAATAAACATAAAGAATGTATAAATTGAGGGTTGCCTGGGTGGCTCAGTCAGTTAAGCTCCTAACTCTTGGTTTCGGCTCAGGTCATGATCTCAGGGTCGTGAGATAGAGCCCCCATGTGAGGCTCCACACTCAGCTCAGAGTCTGCTTGTCCCTCTCCTTCCCCCTGCTTCTGCTCTACCTAAAATAAATAAATAAAATTTTAAAAAATAAAAAGACTGTATAATTGAATTTGTTTCATTGTAATACTTAAAAGTCAAAATTAACTTAGTTCCAAATTAACTACAAATGCTTTGAACTACAGAGTATCTCCTCCTAACCTCCTCTTTTTTAAATATATATGACCAGGGAAGTTAAGGCACTTCCCCAAGTTCAGAAAGCTTGTTGTAATTTAAGTTATTGCTACAGAAATGTACGCTATTCACATTAATGGAACTATTTTTCAGCTTATGGAAGATCAGGTATCAGCAATGTACCCCATCACTTTCCCATGTAAAAAAAAAAAAGAGTATAATTTAATATTTAGATTTTTCAGGGCAAATAAATAAATAAAACAATGTTGGGTGTGACAGATGCACATAGTTAAAAATCTTAAAACCAGTCGTATTATCATTATTAACCATTTTATACAGCCAATCTCTTAACCACTTTTATCAAAGAATGATGAATACGTGTTTTGCACAGACATAAATTATTAGTTTCCAGATACACTGCCAACTTGCTAGCTTGAATGGATTGAAACTGTTATTTTTTAAAAATGAAAGAAAAAGTAAAAGAACAAAAGAATGCATGGATGAAAACCAAAAGTAACAAAGCCAACATGATTAAGAAAACCTATTTGTTAATTATGCTTTCAAATGTGGCAATTTATGGGGAATAAATTATTCATCAAAAGTACCCCCGATAGGAGTTGAGGGGGGAAGTTAAATGACTCAATCTTCCTACTTCTGTGCTGTTTGGACATGTTGAAGCCAGATGTCGCAGCTATATGCAGGCTCACAAATCTCCAAGTAAGGGCTAGAAAATCTGAAAAGGCATCTCAGAACCCAAATGGTGGTTTTGTTCAACATTTCTTATTTGTATCACGTAAATGTCGTTATCAAAACGTAAGACGGTGACTCTCTCACTCGTTCTTACTACTGTGTATTTCTGACCATCTGCTCATCTCCTTCCCTCCCTTCTCTCTCTCTGTGTCTCTCTGTGTCTCTTTTACACACACGTGTGCACACACACACACACAAATGGGCAAGCAGAGGAAAAGATACATCCAATTGCACAAAGTCATAGCTCTTATCAGACTTCTTAGAAGATGGGAAGGGCCATGTAATAGCAGATCTCCTCTCCTTTTTCCCCTAAATAAGTTGAAGGGCAGAAGTGGCCATAAAATTTTGTTATCTGGGGAAATAATGCTGATTTGAAGCTTGGCTTAATGTAAAAACTACCTAAAACCATTGTTTGACTTTTAATAGCATCAAAAAATAGAGGACTCTAACAATAATACTGGTGTGATGAAAAAGTTAATAGAGCTTTCTCATTAATTTCATTTGACGTTAAAATTGACTACACAGCATCCTAATTGATTACGCTTTTGGATAGTTATGTTCAAAAAAATCTAGTTCTCAATATCAGGTATTTAATTATAATTTAGAGATAAGAAAAATTAAATCTGGTAGTTTTGGTAAAATAATGTTTCATAAACATCACATAAAATGTAAATACTAGATAAGTGTTAATTATTATTATCAGCAGCATTAAAAGTTTTTCTTTAGGGATTGAGCCATATACACTTGATGTCGATGATGACAAGTGGTGAGCAGGGTACCAGGTCACTAAAAACAAGGATAATCATACCCACTGAAACAAGCATGCCGGAATTAAATGAATATCCACATGAGAGCCTATAGGTAGTGACAGAATCAGATCAAGAAGTCTCAGCTGCTTTTTAGGTAAAAGATATTTAATTGATATTCAATAGGTATTTTATATATAGATATGTACATATATACACAAAAATGTGTGTGTATATATATATATAATATATGTGCATGTATACACACACACGCAGGTACATATAGATACATTATCTGTAATATACACATGATATATAATAGTAGCCACTACTGAATCAACTGAATCCCTGTGGTGGCTTTCCTTTCTGCTTGGCAAGTTTTGATAAAACATTCTAATTAGTTATCAAGAGAAGCAGAACAGAATGGTGGTAAAAGCATGGGCTCTGGAACCAGACGGCCCAGGTGGAATCCCATTTATTAATCACTTGTGTGGCCTCTAGCCATAACCTGTGATATCGCCCTTCCTTCACTGATAAAATTACATAGTAATAGTCGCTGCCTCATAGTGCTATTATGATAGTTAAATTAGCTCATACACGGGAAGCGTTTAGAAGAGCATTTGGTACCAAAGAAATGCCAGCCACCGCTGGTAGGAGTTACAGTAGTGTCACGAAAGTGAGCACAGCAAATCTCTTCGGAACACGCTGATTTCAGAAATCAGAGAGTTTAAGAAGATTTACCTCTCCTCTGTGTTCCTGGGAGACTGGCTGCTGTGGTTGCTATTCCCAATGAAATTGCGGATTTCTGTGAAGTAAGCATCTTCTTTGTCATCGAGAATCGCGCCTGTACTTTCCAGTTCGGAATGAGGCGACGATGTAGCCGTACCTGAGGGGAGACAGCCTCTTGAGAAAAAGATGGCCACTGAGAGGGCAACTTATTTTTTTTTTAAAGATTTTATTTATCCGACAGTGACAGACCCAGCAAGAGAGGGAACACAAGCAGGGGGAGTGGGAGAGGGAGAAGCAGGCTTCCCACGGAGCAGGGAGCCCGATGTGGGGCTCAATCCCAGGAGCCTGGGATCACAACCCGAGCCGAAGGCAGACGCTTAACGACTGAGCCACCCAGCCCATGGGGGCAACTTATTTTGAAGCTCGTTCCTTCTTCATTTGATCGGTGTTTCCTAAAACAGGCTCTTCTGAATATTAATAATGGTAACTTCAAGAGGCCTGTGTCTTCCCAAATTACCACATGCACGATGACGAAAGTCCCTTGGGGAATATTCTGAACCACTGAAGTCATGAGGTACAGTCTCCCAAAGATGTTTCGCCCACAGCTTCCTCCCATTGCCACTGTGACATGAGCACATTTTCGTTCACATAATGAGGATATAGGGTGAGGCAAATTATAAAGAAGTCTTAAATAGATTCTGCCAGAAGAAACTGTATACTCAGTCCTGGTTGCAGTCTATCTGTATTTATTGCTCCTGTGCTAAAGCACCTTACCAAATAAAGACTTGAAAACATACCAAAAATTCTGTATTCTGATTTGGTGGGTGAGGCAGTGAGTAGACTCAACACACCAGCCCAGAGACTGAGGTGGGACAGCATTAAAAGGACAATATGGGATCTGCTGATTAGAGGATGATCTTCAGCTTCCTTACCTATAAAATTAGAATCAGAATACCTTCTCACAGGATGGTTGTGAGGTTTTTACAAATTTACACAACTATAGATACCTTATATGTGGTCAAATGTACACCAACACTTGCTTCATGCTGTTTACCTTTCCCACAAGATATCTAAAATCTAACAGTTCATCCTAATAGTCTATAGATGAACAAAATAAGAAGGGAAAACATCTCTCAGCTGAACAAAGTTATAATCTGGGTCAACAAATAAGTACTGAACTTGGACATGTCACATTTTTAACTCATTTAAGTATTTTCCAAAATACTTTTGATTAGGGGCTCCTGGGTGGCTCAGTCGGTTACACAGCCAACTCTCGATTTCAGCTCAGGTCATGATCTTGGGGTCCTGGGATCGAGCCCCACATCAGGCTCTTTGCTCAGCAGGGAGTCTGCTTGAGATTCTCTCTCTCCCTCTTCCACTCCCTCTCCCCTGCTCGCTCTCTCTCTTTCTCTGAAATAAATAAATAAATCTTTAAAAGAACAAAACAAAAACTAAATACGTTTGATTAGAAAAATTATGGGATTATGCCGTAAGGGTGCACATGATTGGAAAGTGTGGCCAAATTAGACTTTGATTGCTTTATAACTTCTGTCTCTAAAATTTGGTATCTTTAGACCACAATCATTTGACTTTTGGCTTAGACGGAAATGAACAGTAATATAATTCTATGTAGTAGCCCCCTAAGGTCGTCAGCCATGTGCCTGTGTACAGGGGAGGAAGGATTAATAATAAAATAATTTCCTTAAGTAAAACAGCTACTTTGTACAACTTCAACTTTTCCCTGTTTTTAAAATCTGTTTTCCTGAACCCCATGCTTGCTCCTTCTCTTGCCCCCAAGTCATTTTCCTGATTCTCTTGAAACAAATTATGGCTGCACAGTGTGGCTCCAAACACATAGGCCAGTTGGCAAATATTAATTCATGATTTATTATCTAACTCTTAGAAGCCAAAGGCAAGAAAAACTACCATCTCTTCTGCTAACTATGTGCTGGCAGATCTGAGTTAAGGGAAGGTTAGTTGTTGTTGTTGTTGTTGTTTTCTTTTGCCACTTTTAACTCAAATCTACATCAGAATTTGTGACCCAAATCACACACCACTATGGGTTGCTCCGATCATGTCAACAATCTTCTATCACTAATCTCTGAAAAGTTACCCTGGGGATGTTCTCTGAACTATAGGACCTCTGCAAAAACAGCCATGGTTTCTAAGTTAATATTCAGAGCATGATATTCTGGGGCTGCCACTTTGGAAATCCTGCCATGCCTGGAGGCCCCATTCTGCACCAGTATGTGGAAAGATTGTTCCCTGCAATTTAGGAAATCCTGATTCATAAGTCTCGTATGAGACTGGGTCATGGTTCTCTTTGTTTGAGATTACCCATTGAGATGAATCCAGAATAAGAAAACAATCCAAATAAGGCCCTGAGTTGTATATTATTCAACAATCACATCATTCTGTAATCTAAAGGGAAACATGCTGCAAAATTTAGGATCTGTTTCTGGTGTCAAAGTGGAAGGAGAGAAGAAAGATCACAATTATCTCTTTTCTTAAAAGTAGAGTTGCCGTACAATATTATTCACGATTATCTTAGCCATCTTCTTCCTTATAACGCAACTGATTACCTACCAGACATGTTCCCATTCTCATGTTTCTTTAGGTGTCTGTCTAAGTTGGTTTGTTGACCAAAACACCTATCACATAAGTGACACTTAAAGGGCTTCTCCTTATTGTGGATGTTACGAACATGCCTCTGCAAGTTGGAAGAGATGCTAAAGGATCTGTCACAGTATTTGCATCTGAAAAATAAGCACAGAGAAAATATTTGCAAGCAAATCAAAAAATATTTCTCAAGACTAGTAAGCCAGATATCCAAAATTATCACCCATAAAATATTTTAGAGAAAAGGCAGAGGCAAGAATACTATTTGCACAGCCAAGATTTCAATTCCAACAGACTTTGATTCCATTAAAGATTTTCATGACTTTATGAAAAACCATAGTAAAATATTGACCATTTGATTGGTCCCAAATTTATTAGAGTCATCAGTTTTCATGTTTTTGATAAACTTCACAAAATTAAGGACATTAAGAAATAGTAGCATGGTTTTACCTTCTGCTTAGGACAATACCAATAAATCCTTTGTAAACAAACATGAAACAAATTCATGTATTCTTCAAATAAAGTAAAAAGATCATTCGTTTTTTTTAAAGATTTTATTTATTTATTTGACAGAAAGAGACACAGTGAGAGAGGAAACACAAGCGGGTGGAGTGGGAGAGAGAGAAGCAGGCCTCCCACTGAGCAGGGAGCCCAATGCGGGGCTCGATCCCAGGACCCTGGGATCATGACCTGAGCCGAAGGCAGACACTTAACAACTGAGCCACCCAGGCGCCCCATAAAATGATCATTCTTAAATTCAAAATTGCAGAGTCTGATTAAACAATTTCTTAGTAAATTCACTTCCTCAATTGATAATCCTAAAGAAACTTCCATTATCTTCTCAAAAAGAGCAGTAAAGATTCCAAACCTTTAAAACTGAGGCAATGTGAATAGTTTATCTCGATATCAAAGATGCTGATTTTCATAATCTGTAGTGATTACAAGCCCCCAGAACCTTTACTCCAAAAACCTTTAAACTGTGTTTTTTTAAGCATTTATTTATTTATTTATTTATTTATTTATTTGAGAGAGCGTGTGCATGAGGGGCGGGGCAGAGGGAGAGGGAGAAAGAGAAGCAGACACCCTGCTGAACGTGGAGTCTGCTGCAGGGTTCAATCCCAGGACCATGGGATCATGACCAGAGTGGAAACCAAGAATCAGATGCTTAACCAACTGAGCCACCCAGGCATCCCCACCTTTAAACTGTTAAAAAAGAAAGTAAGGGTGGCATTAAATTCTCCTTTCAGAATAAAATAAAGGTCTTCATTAATCTCTGCTTTTCCTATTCCCCTCAATTTTCCATTTCTGTCCTTACAGAGTTTGTGGCATTTCTGAGCCAGGTTGGTTTTCCAGGAAAACACTTATTATTGGTTGGCTAATTGTTTCTGCCTTCTATGTGATTAAAAAAAAGTCATAAGGTATTTTGAAGTTCTCCTTTATTCATAAATAAAAATGTAACCCCTCACTGCCTACTCCTCAGCTCTTATGGATAAAGAAGAAAAGTGGCAATTTATGGGGTATTCTCCTTTGGCATTTTAAAGTAAAGATTACATTATTTGTTTGTGTGGCTTTTTTTGTATGTGTGTTGCTTGAAAAAAAAAAAAAAACATGAGCTTTCTCTAGATGACTTTTAAGTGAAAATTTTTAACCTAGCAGCCAGACAATCTTTAACTTATTCTTCCATATGTGAAGGGCCCTTCTCCTTCCACTTCTGAATGTAGACTCAGTGGTTCAAGTGCTCTACATCAGAAATCACCCCATTCCACTCGAAGTGTTTGGGTTTCTACGGCTGTCTCTACGTGATGCCAGAAGTCTAGCTAGTTCAGTGGGGAAAATAAATCTGTTAAACTAGTTACTCTGGCATAGTATCAATAAACCGACTCAAGGACTGATTTAATTTTCCCCCTTAAAAAACTGCCCTGGCATGATGAGGCTCCTCAACTTTTCTCACTTACAATATTAATTTAAAAGTGCGTGAAACCCCATATTCATTGTAGTTGTAATATTTTAGCCTCTGCTTTTGAAAAAAATATATATGTGAGTCATGACCTTCTCTGTAATAACTCTGTTGACTCCCAAGGCCTACTACAATGAGAATAATGATACAATTTTAGCACAATTGTGTTGTATCAAGCAGAACAACCTAGAAAACACTGCTAGAGAAAACTTACACTCCCATCAAACATTTTTCACTCAAAACATTTTCTACACACATCATGAATTAGAGAGATTTTTGTCTTTGACATGCTTCCAGCTTTCTGCTTGTATGCAAAGGGACTTTTCCAAGTCTAATAGACATCATCTACTCTAACAGCGATAAAATTGGCCAATAAGAACATTCTACATAATAATCATCTATTATTTTCTATCTTTCCCCTGCTAATGTATTGGTCAAAAGTTTTGAGTGCTCCTGAATAAAAAAAATCATTGCATTCTGCTCCAATAAATTAGTTGGTAGTTACGAGCCTAAGTTTCAAAAATTCTTTAAATTAATACATACATCATGAGCAATACACTCAGTAAGAATTTGGATGTAAACACCAGGGTCATGGGAGCCTTTGAGATCATGGTGTGAGATAAAAACTCTGACACGGAGGTCCAAGTCTGGGTTTTAATTCTGGATCTTTTAATACCAGGCTTTACAGAAGGCAATTAACATCTGTGCATCTGAATTTCTTCACTTGTAAAACAGAGGAGCTAGACAAATAATTGTTTAAGATCTCTAGCTATGCCAAAATTCTGGCCTGTGTTTTTAAAAATACACATACCATTTATGGGGTAGAATAAAACCACTGAATTCAAGTACAGAGCAAAATGAGCATGATATAGCTGCATACCAGATCCTTGGTCATAATAAAATATAAGTGCTGAAATCTTTCTTTCACTGAAGCAAAATTCCTGGGATCTGAAATTTTTCTCAAGAAGGGAAATCGCCTAAAAACTTGCATTTTTATACCTCTCTGAGACTTACTATACAAAGTCCATTCTATTACATACAAAGTATCACTTCTGACTAGTAATTTATAAAACATGTAGGAAAGCAAAGAATTTAAGAAAGCAAAGAAAAATTTAAGAATTGCACATAAAACAATGTGTAGATTATATTTTAAAACTGAAGACGATCTTGATAATTTTCATTCTTTAGTAAACAATATTATTAAAGTTAGACACATGTCCCATGTGTCGTGTGGCTGATCTTGACATCTAAAAGAATAAGCTAAGAGGTAGTTTAGAAATTGTTGCTAGAATTGCCCCTCTTCCTATAATATATTCTATTTTACCTCTTCTCCTCCTAGTTCCTCATCGTCTCCCTCCTCTCCAGGTTTAAGGTTTATTCCTTAAACCTCCTAATGTGACCTGGGGACACCGACTTAGCTATCCTAGGGAAATAAAGTTACACACAGCTTGTCAACTCCTAACAGAGATTTAAGGCTTGAGAAAGGAAGGCTGCAATGTTCTGATTACTGTCAATTAACATAGCACTAATTATTGAGAAGAGAGCACATTAAAATAATTTTTAAAATGGGGGCGCCTGGGTGGTTCAGTCGGTTAAGAATCTGACTCTTGATTTCAGCTCAGGTCATGATCTCAGGGTGGTGAAAAAGAGCCCTGTGGTGGGCTCTGCACTGGGCATGGAACCTGCTTAAAATTTTCTCTCTCTCTCCCTCTGCCCCTCCCCACCCCACTCTCTCTCTCTCTAAAACAGTGATAATAATAATAATTTTTAAAATATCTAACATTTCTTAAATGCTTATTCTATCCTAGATCCTGCTAGATCTTTTAAACTGAGATGTCAGAAGCTTTGATTTAAAAAATTAGAACTCTTAAATTTTTTTTTTTTTTAAAGATTTTATTTATTGGGGCACCTGGGTGGCTCAGTTGGTTAAGCGACTGCCTTCAGCTCAGGTCATGATCCTGGAGTCCCGGGATCGAGTCCCACATCGGGCTTCCTGCTCAGCAGGGAGTCTGCTTCTCCCTCTGACCCTCTTCCCTCTCGTGCTTTCTCTCTCTCATTCTCTCTCTCTCTGAAATAAATAAATAAAATCTTTAAAAAAAAATAAAGATTTTATTTATTTATTCATGAAAGACAGAGAGAGAGAGAGGCAGAGGGAGAAGCAGGCTCCTAAGGAGCAGGGAGCCCGATGCGGGACTCGATCCCAGGACCCTGGGATCATGACCTGAGCCTAAGGCAGACGCTTAACCATCTGAGCCACCCAGGCGCCCAGAACTCTTATATTTTTTATCATAGCTGTTAGTCAATTCTTCTTTGACTCAAAATTGCAAGGACATACATTCAGACATGCACAAAAGTAGCCTCCTTTAAAATTGTGGCAATACATCCACTCTAACTACTATAAAATTTACCAAGGTATTTAGTAAAAATCATTGTCAAACCTGTAAGGCTGCTCTCCTGTGTGGGTTCTCAAGTGCCGTGTTAAGTTCGCAGACCTTGGAAAAATCTTGCCACAGTATCTGTTATGAAAGATGTTTATAAGAGAAAGTCAGCACAATCGACTTTATTTCACTCAAGCCGCATAGAAGCCAGATGCTGATTCTTGATTTAATTAATCTTGCATGGAACTCACATGTCTTTGGTATTTAAAATTTGCAACAAAGCCATTCTACAGATATAAATAACTCCACGAATAAGGCTGCGTTATGAGATCTGGTTGAATTTGCTCATGCATAAGCAAGCAGTTTATGAAAATAGACTTTAGTTTTGATGACCCCCATACGCCTCTTTTATTAACTCTGTATCTTTATAGTCGCAAAACTGAACCAGACAAGAGGATAAAAAAATGACAAGAGTCTGTGATTCTGGGTGATGTAAACAGATTTCAAATGTTTCAACTCATTTTACATGTTAGCCGCGGTGACAACTCTGTACACTGAGCGGTATCAGATCAGACAAGATTCGAAGACCTCATCCATCAAGGTATGTTCCTATAAAAGCTTTTCTGGAAAGAAAGTGACACATTTTCCAAAGAGCAGATAAATTGATATGCCTGAGTCAGATGTCACAAATTTCTGAGGACAATTCAGGAATTATAAGCACAATTTATTGAAAAGAAAAAAAAAAAACAAGCTTTACTGTAATAGTGATGGGTAACAAGAAACTTATTAACTAGCTTTCTTCACTTATCAACCTTATTCGTCCTTTGTTAATGGCCTTATTCTTCAATGCCATGACAATTAATAAATGTATGCTCGAAGACAGTAGTATTATACCTTTGGATGAAAATAATTAACTGTGAAAGAAAATTCATAAATATCAAAGTGAAACAAGTATTTGGACTGTTTCCAACCTCATTTATCACAACCAAATGGCCTGTGTTAAAATTCCCATTTAATAATAATTTTTTAAAACCACTATTTTTGTATCTCCCTAAATAAAGAGTACTTTGAAGTGCTGGAGATCTATCATGGTCACGATTAATCATCCAATCAAGAATAACTTCCAAAACAAACAGCAGGGTTTTTTGCAATCAGAGGGGAGACTTGGGGAAAGCGGCCCGTCATGGGCCCTGCAGTTACCTGCAGGTGTAGCGTTCTTTCCCTTTCCGCAGGAGGTTCTCCGGCAGGGCATTGGGAGGTGCTCTGAAGTTGAACATGGAGGGAACTGACTGCAGAAGTTCACTGGCCTCCGGTTTCAGGGCACTGAAGCTCTCTAGCTTCTCCGCCATGTTTTCAATAGCTGACATCTGAAAGGCAAGAGCACAAGACCATGAAGGACCAGTCTGACATCTGTTCTTCCAGAATAATCTCTAGAAAACCAAGAAATCGTTAAGAAAAGGGAAGCATCAAATCTGCTGAATGCGGTAGACTGGAGAAAAAGGTTGTAGTGTCCCAATATTTGACAGATAACGAGAGGACTCGTTGATTTAGGAAATAACAAAGGTAGAACCGTGCTTATAGAATGCTGGGTGAACTTCAAAAGACCTTGGTTAGGCCATTTTGTCATCATTTGATATAGAACTGAGCAATGAAATACATGAGTGATAATAAAGCTTTTTTATTAAATTAAGAGACAATATTGTATTATGTTATGGACATCAATAGTACACTGGACCTTATAGGGAAAGGTCCTGCATGCCTGGCCTCGGTAATAAAAACCATAGGAAGCATGGCATCCCACGAAAAGAATTCACAGCACGAAACACATCAAGTGTTCCAAGTTACAGCTTAAGCCAAATGTGTAGTGCAGAAAGAAAAAAATTAATGTGTAAGAGGTGTTTTGCCTAAGACTAGGTTAACTTAATATCTGGATATACTACAATTTTAAGTGGGATCATATACAAGGAATTTTGATGAAATATTAATTTGTTCTGAACAAAGACTGAGTTGAAATGACAGTTCATGATATATCATCGTGACTTCACGTAATAATAACTTGGCACGGGCGTTATAAGGGGAGTAGTTAGCCTAACCACACTCTTAGAGAAATAATCTTAAAAAAACTACCCTAATTCTTCCCCTCAAACAACCTAATTTATTTTGCTTATAATCTTCAAGTTTCTGTCCACCTGCCCATATAACTGACAGTCACAATCGGAGGGTGGCATTTACTTTGAAAGGCAGCTTGATCTTTACTGTCCTCAGTTAGAAGGACTCTCCCCTTTCCTTCAACCCTCCCAAAATGCTAAGTTTCCTTAGTGTTCATATTTTATTTGGAAGCTGCTTACTACTGAATTTTTAAGTAGAAAAGCAAACTCTCAGGCCATCCTGTTAAATCAACTCACCCATTATTTATTTGGTTCTCAGGCACTATGCCACTGGAGAGCTCAGAAAGCTGTTAAAAAGGTGTTTGCACTCTATATGCACTCTGTGTGTTTCTCAAAGAGCTGGGGTGTTAGACCAGGAGACTCCATGCAAGGACAAGAATGGTAACTGCACATTCAAACAATTGTTTAACCCAAGAGGATGATTCTTTCACTGGTGGATGGCAGGACCGAATTGAAGGCCTAATTTACGAGCTCAGGATAGAAAGAAAAGGCACCCCTTCCTACTCAAAAGGGAAAGTAACAAAATCTCTATTCCATGGCCGAGCAGCTGGACAGAATACCAGTGACTTTACGGCGAAGCAAAATCTTAACAGAATGGCCGGACGATGAACCATGATTCTTTTCTTACAAAGGGAATAGTGTATGCTCGATCCGTCAAATGACTATTCATGTTGTAGTTAGGTCTCTCTTTTCCCTTTATCCTGGAGCCTGCCCTCTCATTTCATGCCCGGGCTCCTAATGCTAGCTACAAATTGCAACGTACAGGGTACCACTGCCAATTTGCCAAATGTCTTTCATCAAAGACGGTGCAAAAAAATCTCAGAGGAAAGTCAAGATACATTTACTTGTCAGACGACAAATGTGAACGCATTGGGAGGCGGTAGGGGCTCTAAGCTCAGGGGTTTGATTCATAATCACTCAGCTGCTAAAACATTCTCCACAGATGCAAGTGGACAGCACATTTGTCACTATGAAGGATTTTGACACATACTGATCACAGGGCAGAGATATGGAATGATGCTGCTGCTCGGAGAGGTTGGCGGAAACTCTGTCCCTGCAGAATACGGTCATTATCCCCCTCTAGCCGGAGCATTAGCATTTTCATCTTACTTTGGGTTTTATTTATTAAAAATCAATCCAGAAATATTTTATGATACTATTTTATTTGCATTTATTCCTCTTAATTGTTTCTTGCAGAAAAATCATTTTGATATTCCACCCTCCATGGAATAAATTGTCTGAGTGAAAAATGACCCCTGGCCTTCAAGCTGATTAGCAGAAACAAGCAAGGGTCAGGGTCACGATTGCATATATTTATTGGGAAGAATAGTAAGTGCATGGGTGATGATTATTAATGTTTTATTTATGTACATTTAATATTTGAGTAAAGTTTCATTATCTAGTGGTTTTAAATCATTTGAGTGTCCGCCCGGCTGACATACTCAGATTCCTGCGGCGATATATCTTATAGAAACACTTTGCCTTTTATATGGAAAATAGCTTACTCATGACTATTATTCTCAGCTTTCATCTCTAGCACATATAAACTACAAGTCCTTTAAGTTATTTAAGAGCAATTGGCTGTTGAGGAATGTATCTTGCTTTAGTAGTGCCTAACACCTCCTTTTGAAGAAAGATCGCTGTGATTACATTATCTCAAACTATTTTGATTTGGGGAAACTATCAAGAAACAAGAAAATACACTATGGGCTTGATGACTAAAAACTGACATTCTTAAAGATAATAGGAAAAAGAACAGGGGTGACCCGAATGCTTCTCTTAAAAGCCACCCCCACCTTTGGCTTCCAGTGTCAAAGGAAAAGAGAATTAAATAGGAGTGGGGAAAAGGGAGAGAAGGAAGATGGGAAGTGAGCCGAGGGTAGTTATTAACACCACACACACACACACACACACACACACACATACACACACACCCCATTTTCTGTCCAGCTAGCAACAACCGAACATAAAAGCCACCACCAAATTCTTCCTTTCATCTTCATAAGATTTGCTCTCATAGCACTTGACCTCAGTTGAAAAGAAGAAGTTTCCCCATTAGGACAGATAGAAGTGACTTAGACATCTGCCAGTTGGGTAGGTTAGCAATTCTATGACCAACATCGGTCTGCCTCTGTCTTGGATTAAGGTGTTGGATTAAGATGAGCTTCACCTGGTGCATGGGTCAAAACCCTAACTTTCTCACTCTGTGGGCTGACTCGTATGATGCTCTTCCTGAAATAACATGCCTTTTATAAGAGAAGTAGCAAGTGTTGACATTCATTTTAAAGTCTGGCTTGGAATTTTAAAAATCAACATGAATTGGGATCAATGGAACAGAATCTACTAGCTACATATATATTTCAATTATGAAAAATCCAATGAAGAGGGAAATGTGTACTACTATAAAAAAGAAATTTGCTGAGAATGGGGAAAATAAAGGAGGAAATATTAGATCATATATTTTAGAAGTGCATCGCCCTGTGTCCTACTAATGTCATAGGCTAATCTCCAATCAGTAAATGACAGGTTTTTTTTAATATGGAGCAGTAACTTTTATTTATATATATAATAGTTGTTGATGGTATCTGCAGCCAGATGTCTGGAAGAGGAAGTCATTGCACCCCCTTTCAGTCCCCAGGAGGCTATTAACTTTATACTGACGCAAACTAATATTTAGACAGAATTCCCTAGATCCTACCAAAAAATGTAGCTATCTCCCTAGTCAAATAAACTTAGTATTTTTAAAAACATTTCAGCAGGCAAGATATCATCAACTGGGTCCTAAGCACTTAGCTTAACATTTATTATCTGGCAGCCAATAATTGATGACATAAAGAAGTTTCTCATTAAAACCATTAAAGCGACAATCTGATTATATGAAATGATTGTCCAATGGCACCATGAATTATGTGACCTAATGTTTTACAAATTAGATTACACATGCCTTTATCATAAAACAACTAACTTTTCATAAATAACTTATGATGGGAAAGTTTGTAGATTTGGTGGTTTTCTATATTTATTCACTTGATAATCTTGAGAATTCTCAAAATTGTGGCCATTTGGGGGAGAAGCAAGTATTCATAGTTTATGGCTATCTCATTCCATGTATCACATTCAGCAGTTATGATTACAAAATCCATTAGAATCTGTTTACCACTAAAATGATAAACTTTAATATTTTAGTAGTTCCCACTAATATCTATGTTTTATAATACAAATATAAATCATAGCTCTGAAAACCCTATGATTTAGGGAATGGAAGTGTTTCCAAAGCATTGCAACGTTGGTTTCTATACCATTATATTATCAGGGAAGGGAGTCTAACTTAAATCTGAATTGGCTTTGTCAATTGGTAGAACCATTGGGCATTTATGTAGTGGACAGCACCTTATGGATGAAGCAGCCAACCACATAGGTACTGTCAAGTAATACTCCACCTTAGAAAGGATGAGGACCCTGAGGCACGATACTCAGGACGGACCTCTCCCAGGGAAGACAGAAGAGGAACACTGGAAATACAGGCCAGGGTAATCAGAGCACAGCCCCATCAGCTGTACAACTTTGTCTAAGAAAGCCTTAGTCTCTCTCTCCCTCTCTCTTCTCTTGTACTTTTGAAATAAATAAACTTAATCCTTAAACGTCTATCAAAATGAGAAAAAGCACAATTCATCACATACTCCACAGAAGAAATCAAATGGAGGAATTTCTGGTAAAGAAAATCTAATATCAGATAGAGGAAACAGTAAGTGCTAAAGTGTTCCGACTTAAAATAATTTATATATAATTATATGGTGACCAAAAAAACTGAACTATATTCCAGATTTTACCCATATCTCAGAATCAGAATAATTTTGAGTAAAGAAGACAATGAAGAAGTAGAAGTACATATAATCAGAGGAAATTTTGTAATATATGTTATTTATATGTATTTCCATCGACCCAAGGTTTATTTGAGAGTAAAAACTAAATAAGCAAGACAGAGGATCACAGGGGAAGGGAGGGAAAAATGAAAGAAGACGAAACCAGAGAAGGAGACAAACCATAAGAGACTCTTAATCTCAGGAAACAAACTGAGTGTTGCTGGAGTGAGGGGGGAGGGAGAGGATGGGGTGGCTGGGTGATGGACACTGGGGAGGGTATGTGCTATGGTGAGCGTTGTGAATTGTGCAAGACTGTTGAATCACAGACCTGTACCT